TGATACAATGAACGAATAACGTTCATTATTTTTATAATTTACACCATTCCTGTATTTTCACATTCCCTTTACATTCAATTTCAAAATAAAATTACATCAGTAACTATTTATCCAGACGTAGGTTAAAATTGTTTTCATTTTGACGTGTCAAACAGTATCGACCACAATTCTATAAACGCCTGATCGAGCATTGAAAAGATAAGACGTACACCTATTAACACTCGTCTTGAATTTTGTCCCTTAGGGGAAACTAACACATGCACATAGCTGGCTCAGTTTCGTTGTTACTAGTTACTAGCTGTACAGCTTTTATTTCCATATTTTCCAATGCAGCTTACTGGGATGCAGCTTATATATGTTAACGATACACTAATAATTGGAAGGAATTAAAGGGAATCAAAAGTCTATAACAATAAGCCCTTTTTTGTGATTATTTAGCTTTGTAATTCCGCATTACATCGAACTGAATCGAACAAGCGAGGAGTTGAGTTAGAACGATAATTTGTCAAACCTACACAGAATCATGGCAGGAGAAACAAAAAGAGTTCCTATTAATATGTTAACGTAAGTGCCTTTATATATTATAAACATTTCATAATATTGTGCAGCGGTTATCGACAGCCATTTACATAAATTCATACAAAAATACTTCGTAGTGCTGAGGAATTGATAGAAAACAAGGGTTTGAAGTACAATGCATTAAATGAGTACGAGACGTCAGCCAAGTCTCTTCCAAAGACTGGAATGAAACAGTTCGAACCGAATGATTCTTGGCTTCAGAGAGTGCAAATTGAAAAGGGTATCGAAACGAGAAAGAATTTAATAGCTATAGAAAGAGTAGATCGTATTTCACAATTAGCCAGTGCAGAGTGGTTACCTGATCAAAGGAGAGCCAGAGTGAAAAAGCTGTCTGGCCAGGATTGGGGTAGTTTCGGTTTGGAAAAGAATGGTGCCTTGTATTTGATACCAGAAGAAGCGCTGTTCCTTCTAGAAGCTGTACGTTGTAGAGATATCCGTTTTTGATACAGGCAAGAAATGATATCGTTCTGTTTTAGAATCGTCTGGAACTTACATGGAACAATGTGCCAGTGTCCATTCAACAAGCTTACGAACTTTTGATCGATGATGCTGAATGCTCGTTAGAGGAATATAGGGTTTACAGCCAATTGGTACGGCACGGTTATCGCATACAACGCTTTATTTACAATGCAGGGAAGAATGGAAAACGCGAGGAAACTGGGACAAGACGTAAAGTTATCGTCGAACCCGAGAACGGTCTTCGGATGTCTGACGTTCATCAACAGAATAAATGTTGCTCCAACGTACACGAAGAGCTGCCACGTCATTCCAAGAATGCAGACACCGTCGATTCCTCGAAACAAACCTCTGAAGATACAACGGAAGATAAAACTGTTCCAAAGATCGTGCACGAAGTTATGAACGATCTCCTTGGTGCAGTAGAAGAAATCGAAGATCCAGTGGCTGTTGAACCTAACGGAGATAGAAAGAAACGGAAGTCCAAAGTAGAAATTATATCGAATGAAATCATATTGGGTGATATAAAGATTGTCACGAATCATACGAATAACTCTGTTAAAGATAGTAGTGCGTCAACGAGTTGGCAAGCGTCACGAATACAACGGAACGTCAAATTGGTACCTAAGAGAACAGACAAGCGACTGTCGATCAACGACGCTTTCGAATCTAAGAAATCCCCGAACAAACGTAAACTAAATCCATCTGATGAGAATAATGCAAAGAAGTCGAAACAGGAGGTATGATTCGATAGTCAGTTAATAATGTTAACGTTGTGTCAAAAATATCTTATTCTTTTTTTATTCAGGTCATAGAACTTTCCGACGATGAGATTCAGGAGGTGTCGAAACCTATGACGCGAATGGATTTACTGAGTCTCATTCCAAATATTGCATCTCAGCTCACAGTCACTGTCAACATTTCAAGGGGCTACATACCGCACAGTATTAAACCTAATAAGACGGTTTACCATTACGTAGGTAATAAATTAAAAGGTTTGCCGGAGAGACATAAAAGGTTTCAATCCGATCGAAATACGGAGCACGAGAATAATAATCGAGCTGCGCATCATGGCAATCACGATTCGACGAATAGGAGGAACACGGTCACTCAATTTAATCCGTATCAAGCGTTCGACGTGCGTAATCTTCGTGCACACGATTACGTTTCCATGCAACATTTCAAGCAACATACAAACTTCGCCCCTACCTGTGCATATAACAATGGACGCGGTCAGCAAGCGTACGTTCAAGATCCGTACTGGATCCATAGGAACAGTACGTTCGAAAACATGGTCGTTCCTTATGGTAATCATTGCGCCGCTGTCCCTCAAAACAGATGCATTTCGGTGCCGGTACAAATACATAATTTGCTAAGACCGAACGTACACGACGGCATGATTAGGAGTTGTTCTACGAGACAGCCCGTCGTTCATGAAATGTTCCGGAAACTGTATCATCAGAGAATCGTCCAAGATTCGTCGGTAGATCGTGGTGCACCGAGAAACGCCTTACTTCCAACGCCTCGTCGGTGGCATCCGCCACGATATCATAAAAATCAATGCACACCTTTGAATTATAAACACGTCTATCCGTCGTCGTTCAAAGTTATCCCGGGAGCATCGTCGTGGCCAGAACTGAAGCTCAAATGGCGCGAAGAGAAAACGATTACCATCGACGACGAGGATACTAATCAGGAAACTGATAAAAAGAGTAACGAAGTACAGGTGGTCGGACAAACGTGCAGTCCTTTAGTCGGACCAAAGAACGCGAATAGTCTCGAAGAAGTCTTTAGCAAGCTTAGAATAATTAAATCCGCGCCGGAAAAAATTGTAAGAAAGAAAAGTAAACGGAAGATATCATACAACGTTTACTCGAACACGCAAAGCTATAGGAAAGCGAATCCCGGCCTCCCTTGTTACCGAATAGTTGTAGTAAGGTAAATATATAATTGGTTGTCAGTTAACTTTATAGTTTAGTACTTACTTCTGATCGTACTTATTCATTGTTTCAGACCGAATGATTCGTTTATACAACCAATCGAGTTATACCGTTTGATGCATGATGCCGAGAATTCGCTGATAGTATTGGCATGCGTATCGCAATCAATCTCATACATCCAACCAGGGTTTATATCCCTACCAAATCTGACATGATCGAAATAAATTTTCCATTAATTACATACATGATATTTTGTTCTCTATTTATTTTTATATGTAATATAAATCGTCGTTCATATTCGTTTTATAATATAAAGAAAGTTTAACAATAAAACCGTTTTTTATCGATCGACTTCGTTACTGTTCAAACATCTATGTACATACATTGTTTTGGAGAAGAATTGATTCGGGGAAGGATGCAGACATCGTACAGACAGTACACGGATGGTGTGTATTTCGTAGTTTATTATAAACATTTCAAACAACATTTCACGTTGCGGAAATTATTTTCACTTGGATTTCTTTGTTTTTATATTAAAACTTTCGTTCGCCTCGCGGAATTACTTACGGTCTATGACTGGTTCTATAGTTTGTCCACCGCAAATTTGACCCCAACCGATCAAACGCCAGTGCTTCTCGACACGACGCGATAACGCGATCTTCTCGTCAATTTCTGTACACACAGGATTCGTCAGGCTAATTTTAGCTAAATCGGCACGAGTCGCTAATACGCGACCGCCTGTGCTCAATGATCCAATATTTACTAGTAGCACCTCGTTTCTCGATAATTTCGGTACCTATCATCGAACAATACATGATTAAAACGAACAACTTAGCTCTCTATAGATATATGTATATTTCTACGTGACACGCTTACCCTCGCTCCTTTCTTGTCACCCTCCGTTCTCACTCCCAACAACCGTTTGAGAAGATAATACGATATTTCCAATTCGATAAATATTTTTGGTAAAGCTCCCACGGCCCCCAGAATTTGTCCTACCAAACGATCCGCGCGGCATAACGTTGGTTCAATCTTCGTTCCAACGCCTAGGAATGTATTTATCAAACGTCACGATCCTTTCTACTTTAACGATTAGACGTTCATTTATTCTCAATTGAGCCGTTCAGTACACACATCGATTAACTCCACTTTTTGAAATATCTTAAATTTATGTGTCAAAGCACTTGGTATAGTCATAATTTGTGCTTTGACACATAAATTTAAGATTTTTCAAAAAGTGTAGTTAATCGATGTGTGCACTGAACGGCTCAATTACCGATAAGACCACCCGGAACGGCGAATTGAAGTTCATTCTGCTCGGCGAATAACGATACTATCCGTGAGAATATGGGCCGGCAGGTCAGCTTTCCTTCGCTGTCTTTGGATACCAACCCGGGACGAACTTCGATTTCCATACCCACCTTTTTAAGTAGAAATAATTAAATCCCTTTTATACAATAGACACGATTAATTAAAGAAGCGTGTGTTTATACTTTTAATACTCCTCGCAGGATACTTCCTCCGGCAACGCCTCCTTTTAGATCATCCACTTCACAACCTGGTTTATTCACGTCGAACGATCGGATTACGATCAATCTCGGTTCCGAGGTGAAGTCTCTTAAAGGAACCGGGATTTTCTTTGTGATGTACTCGCATAAAACTTCAATGTTATACTTGAGTTGTGCAGAAATCGGTATCACAGGTGCTCCCTCGGCCACTGTGCCTGACAAACATAATTCCTCTGATACTTCGCGTTCAACGATACCTCATACAATGATAATTTAGATTATGAAAATACCCTGCACAAATTTCAATATTTGCTCGTACTGCTCCTTCGCTTGGGCCTCTTTCACTAGATCAATCTTATTTTGCAAGATCACAATGTGTTTCAGTTTCATAATTTCAATCGCTGCCAGATGCTCTGACGTTTGGGGCTGAGGACACGATTCGTTGCCAGCTACAAGCGAATATTTCGTTGATCATAGGAAAATCGTGATTCTTTAAGAACGAAACAGTTGGTCGACTATATACCGATTAATAATAGAGCTGCGTCCATAACAGCTGCACCGTTCAGCATAGTTGCCATAAGAATATCGTGTCCTGGGCAATCGACGAAGGACACATGGCGCACCAGCTGAAATCTCCCAGAACAAACCGGGCGCAAACAAGGAAACGAGTCGTCTTTGCTCGATCCTCCAGATATGTAACATCCTGGTCTCGGACATTTCTCGTTATCGCATTTATAAATCTTTGCATTCGCGTACCCTGAAACGAATTAGTTAAAAGATATTTATGACGTACTACTTTAACTACCTCTTTTATGATGAATCTCTGTTTTGCCAATGAATAAAATAATTATGAAAGCGCTTAAGGGTATGATAGAGCAAATGAAAATACTGTTACAACAATATGCATTTATTTGTCTTTTTAAAAGATATATACAATTATATATCTTGATCACAAATAATTTACCATCCTTTTTTACATTATTTGTGTCACAATTAAATTAAAAGTAATTACTACCTAAATGGATATTCGAATTTGGTAGAATTAATTGTACAAAAATATTTAATTTCTTTCAAATTTATGTATATTTTTTCATTTATGTAATTTTGCACGCACTGGCACTTCGTATCTTCGAACAAACGATTACCGGACGCTGACTTTTCGAATGAAGAATGAATTATTGCATTGCATTGGGTAAGATATCAAAAAGCAATACATATTTTATGAAACCGAAAGAATTTGCAACTTCATGTTTTTTCACTACTGCATAAGAAATATAATAATAACATTAATAATAATTACTAAATCAGTAAACGGATAATAGAAGTACAAGAATTTCTGTTCACGATTATACAAAAAACTATGCACACGAGAACACATATGCGATTCAGTGTCGCTTTAAATTACCTAAATTAGTAACATTAGATACATTTAACAAAGATGACTCCTCGTGTTTTAGTTACAGCCATGTAATTATAATTTCTAACATTCAAATTCATTCGCGTGATTCACGCTTTTCGGATATACGACAAGTTATATTAATTATTTCTATTAACGCACTTGAACATTCTATGGTGACGAGCATATAATTACATTACCTTCAAGATGAAAAATAAAAATACAATACGATAAAGCTGTAACAGACGAGTCAAACTCTCTGTACTAAACACGAAGTATGTATACAAATTATTATATTATATCTGAATTGATTTCATGTGCAACGAAATTTAAATTTTGTTCTTCAAACTATAACTTAGATTAGATCATTCAGTCTTAAGACATGTAGTTTTCAACTGAAAGATCAGAAATGCATGAGACAATTATACAATTTGTATGGTACAGTGATGTGAGATAAACCTAAAACACGTATTGTCTACAACTTTGAGCACCGCATTTGCATAATGTCTTTTTGTTCACCGAATCTGACTCCCCGCGTAGCTTTATTCGGTTTTCGAATTCCTTGTCGATATATTCGTTCAGATTTTTATTCGCTGGTATCTCTTGTTTCATAGAGTTCTCGCCGTTCGACGATTGGCACGTGTAGTCAAAGGTAATCTCTTCGTTCTCCCCGATATCTCTCATCGCAAATAAAGCGAGTTTAGGGAGATTTGGATCGAGGCAATTGATCCAAACGGCGTATACCGCCAAGTTTGGATCGCAGGAATGATTAATGAAGTGAGAGACGTTTCCGTACATGGCAGCATCGACTGTGTACGGGCACTGTCCTTCAGTCTCGTTGTAATCCAGATCAAATAGGTACGTTCTACCACAAGCGTCGTATTTCTTACCACGCTTCTCAGCCTCCTCGTTAGTTATCACTTCGCCGACGTATTCCGTGACGAAGGTCCCCTTTTTTATTAGTTGCAGAGCCTTCACGCCCCACCCTCGACCGTTCGAGGTTCTGAAGATGCACAGTTTCACCTCAGTGCCGCGTTGTACCACTCGATTCATACAATCTGTGCCGCATCTGCACTTCTTGTTACATTCGTAAATCGGCGTTCCGGGCGGGACACGAATTTTCTGTGTCGCGGTATACGGACACATCAAGTTGTTCTGATCGAAACAACACTCTTTAGTTTTGGAGTTACAGCCATTGCATTCGCAACCGATAGGCGGATCATCGGGTATGACCACCCCGTTGCCGGGTAAATAGTCTTCTATGTAGTAAAAATTCTGAGGCGCTCCCTCCAAGTCCACCATGTTCTCCACTTTTATCGATGGCCGCTCTTTAGTGATACTATTCATCTCCTGTTCCCACTTTTCCAAGGATCTCAACTGTTTCATCCTCGAGTCGGCGACCAACATACGAAGAACGTTGTGCTTCAGAACTACTTCCCATTTACTCCCTTTGACGTATTTCCGATTCAGAAAGTTTCGTATGTTACTGTACAGCGTGTTCAAATTCACTGAAATCGATGTCAGCGCTTCCCCTTTCATCTTACGATGACTTAAAAACTTTTCGATATCTCTATCGTTCGGATAAAAGTTCGTTTTCTGTTTGAAGCTACTGAGTAACTTCAGTCTACTCCTCTCAAATTCGTTTAAAATAGCTGGGCAATTGACTAAATTAGTGACTGGTTCCCAGGTGTTGTACTCCGAGTCCCAGTTTTTCCATTTGATCAAGTAAACCGGCTGTCCATCTACCTCATCTTTCGCGAGGATCTCTTCGACCTCCCACAAATCGCTCTCGGCAAGTAAGGTGTTCATCCCTCCTCTGGTCCCGTGCTTTATATCCTCCAATATAACTCGGAGTTCTTTCAATTTGGTATTCCGTAAATTGTATCTATTCTCGATATTCGTATCGTTACTCGATATGCTTAGTCTACTGCTTAGTCTACTGCTTCGTCGACTGACTCTCCAATCATCGGAATAATACGAATTTTCTTCTTCGTTCGCCGTTTCTTTCCTCACCTCCTCTTGTCCGAGAACGTCGTTACTGATCGTGCTGATACTCGTCAATATACCATCGTTCTGAGTATCTTCTCGCGAACTCGGTGATTTCTCTTCGATCCTGCAATGTTTGGCGGACAATTGAATGAATCCTGGGGAGGCCGATCTTTTTTCTCGCACAGGAGACATATCGCTCGTGCCTCCGAGTGTTTCTTCTTGTCCCGTTCCGCTATTGTCCTTCGCACGAGCGTCTGCAATGCCAAATATTTATCGTCATTCCCTCCGGTCACGTCCCTCGGTCATATTGTATTTAACTTGTACAACTGTTTCCATTATTCTTTGCACTTAGCATTAATGTATGACCTTGTACACTGAGAATCCCGTCAATCCTCTTCGTTCTTCTCTCTTATTTATTAAACATGTTTGGTGCTATTCGATAAAACTTGCATAATCCATACGTTCGTGGAAAGGTGCCGTATTTATATAAAAATGTTCATTCAAAAAAATGTGCCATACGTACGAAACTACAGATTATTGTTTCAAGTGTGTATCGAAATGCTCGGAATAATAGTCTAGTCGATGATTATAATCGCTGATATAATCTAATTTTACCAAATATATATAAACTGACTAAAGCACACCTTAATATTCAGTTTGTACTATGTTCTTCGTAGGATTTCAATTTTTGTAGGATATCATTGAATCCCCTTTCAGTACGAAAACATTTACGTCTATATGTATTAGCAAATGATCGTACAGGTAAAAGTTCGAGAATGTCGGACAACACAACATTTAAACACTTTATTAACAATTATAACTGTACTTACCTTGATATGTTACACGATAATACAATCATGTACAGAATTCATTTTGTAACTTTAGCTTCGTTTTCGTGTAAATTTGTAATTTCAATTTACACAAAACTACGGTAATTGAAATTAACTTATTAAGATGTGCTTAGATCAGTCATTTTAACTTTTTTGTTAACCTCCTGACTTTGCACGATTATAGCACCGTGTGTGAAATGCAACACAAATTATTTGCACGTTCGAAAGTGATACTCGAAATAATCTACATAATAGAATACATCATCAAACCGATGTTTAGGCGATGTCAAATAAAATCGCAGCAATATTTGAAGATGTATCCGTTACAAGATTTAAATAATAAATCAGTCATGTGGACATACATACACCACCGGTGCATACACGTAGTATAAATGGCGAGATTTAACGTAAAAATAACAGAACTGTGTAATTATCGTTACCTACGAGCAAAGCGGTTAAATCGAGTATTTGAAATGTCTGCCGGATGCAATAAATAAATGTCGGTAAATATTTCAAATATCCGAATTATGAAATGTTCTCGATCCCGCCCTGGGATGTCGGCCACGAAGTTTTTCTAAAATGGCGATCACTTGTGTAGGCTGACAGTTCGTTTATCTGTCGCCGTAGCGCTTTTGTCACGCGTCTCTTGCGGAAGAGGTTTGAACCTCTGACTAAACGTGCCTCATTCGTCTTTAACCGGACAAGTCGAGAGAGGAGTAGGGTAATGAATTATTAAAATAAAAGTATTCTTTAACCAGTAACCGTGTCCAGTCATTCGTGCCATTAGAAGTCAGGCAACAGAGCAGCCGGGCTTTTTAACAAGACCAAAAATATCTTCACCAGACACTTGTGGCCGCGTCTGCTGCCATCTATGCAGCGACGACACAAAACGTGCGTTTCAAACATTTGTTAATACCAGTGTGTAAAATTACAGAAGTAACAAATGCTTGACACAAAAATAAAAACTGTAGCCACGTTGACAGAAACATGTGTCAGCAATACATATAATTAGCAAAAATTGAACATAGTAATTGTTCATAAAACATACACATATACACAAATGCCATTTTAATTACAGCTGATATGTATAACTTTGAGGTACTCACCAAGCTTAATAGTAATATTCCTTTCTAATTCATTTTTAAAACGAACAGTCTGTACTCCTGATATAGCTTTTACAATCGTAGACTTTCCATGTGCTACATGGCCAATGGTACCTATATAAGATTTTCAGATTTTGCAAATTTCACTTCCTTTACTATTCTTACATCTTGCTAAAGTGATTATTACATTATTATATTTACCAATATTAATTGTTGCTTGCCTACTGATGACCTCACGGGATAATGCAGTTAATTTGCTAACATCCTAAGTAACAAAAGTTTGACGGACTTAAATCACTGTAAAAGTGAAACTCGTAGTATAAAACTTTATACATCGATTACCGGCAATAAAAGATACTGGTTGGCTATCGTCTATCATGAAATTCAACATCTTTACGAAGACACAGATTGAAAATATATAAATAATGACATACATTGTCGTATTATTGTAATCCTGT